GATAGACTTCTTTCTGGGACAGAGTAGAGTGATTTCGGTTACTTCGTCTGTGGTTACTGGCTTCACAATTCGGTATTGAAAGTTTGAGAACACTGTAATGGGTTTTAATAATCATGTTGCTGGTTCAATCGCTAGTTCCTCTACTCATCATTGTCTAAACGTAGAGTGCGCTAAAAACCAGTGATTTTTTTTCTGATCGGTATTTCAGATCCTGGATCTCGAAATCCCATTTGATGTCCGGTCTATACAAGTTAGTCGATGGTAAGATGCTTGATCTATTCATATATCTCGTCCATGGTTCATACTATATCCGGAACACATGGTCGTTTTCTAACCCTGTTAGTAGTAACGTGTTGAACTTTAGTGCAAGTTGTGAATGGAACATAAATTAAGGAAATCATGGTATGTTAATATTTTAATTATATCTTTAAATTAATTTTATTTAATATGACGGCATTCTGAAATTATTTATATTTGTGCATTTTATGAGACAATACTTCGTTATAGTAAGTACCATTGCATTTTATTGTTGCAATGTTACAAAGTATTTTATTAATAAAATTCAAATGAATTATATTATATATCACCATTAAAAATTATTAATCAGAAAATAATATATTTGGGTAAATATTTGATATAAAAAATATATATATTTGAATAAATATTTGAATAAAAAATATATATATTTAAAAGAGTAAGATATGCGTAAAAATGCTTGGAGATTTCTCAAGGAATTGTGTTTCTATTTTTTACGCCGTAGCAATATATTCACAGCATATAATTATAAACTGCCAAACTTGTCATTTTTGTACTTCTGTACGAGAAAATGTTTAGGTTAATTTTATTAAAATCCAGTTCTTAATATATTTTATTATAAAATATTTAAATAATAAAATATAAAATATGTTGTATTACTTGTATACGTATATAATTTTTTTAATTTATTGTAATTTTAAATATAAAATATTTTTGTTTCAGTCAAAGCTTTTTGTTTTATATGAGCATGCTGCTGGGTATGCCACTTTTTCTGTCAAAGAATTCGAAGAGGTAGGAATGTTACTTCCTCAAGTTGAATCATCTGTCACAGATTTATCTCGCTTTAATTCAGTTGTGAAATTAATTGGATTTTCACCCTTTAAAACTGCTTTAGCAGCTTTGGAAAATATAAATAGTATTTCTGAAGGAGTTGTCCCAGAAGATTTACAGTTGTTTTTAGATTCATGTATACCAAAATCTGGAAAAAAAGACGAAGTTGTGCTTGGAGTAGCAGATCCAAAACTTGGAGCTAGTATTACTGAAACGTTAGATATAAAATGTGATCACACTGGTGCCATTCCAGAAATTGTTAGAGGAATAAGATTTCATTTCCATAATTTAGTAAAAGGTTTCACTGCTAAAAGTTCTGGAATCGCACAACTTGGACTTGGTCATAGTTATTCTAGAGCTAAAGTTAAATTTAATGTCAATCGTGTGGATAACATGATCATACAAAGCATAGCTCTATTAGATCAATTGGACAAAGATATTAATACATTTAGTATGCGAATAAGGTAATTATTAAAATAAATATATATATTCCATAAATATAAGATATTCAGTTTATTAATTATATGTTTATTAATTACAGAGAATGGTATAGTTATCATTTTCCAGAACTTCTAAAAATAGTTCCTGAGAATTATATGTATGCCAAAGTTGCAAAATTAATAAAAGACAGAAAAGAATTTACAGATGAAAAATTAGAAGCTTTAGAACAAATTGTTATGGACAGTGCAAAAGCTCAAGCAATTATCGATGCATCCAAATCATCTATGGGAATGGATATCAGTCCTATTGATCTTCTTAATATTGAAATGTTTGCAACTCGTGTTATTTCTTTGGCTGATTACAGGAAACAATTAGCAGAATATTTAAGATCTAAAATGACAGGAGTTGCACCAAATTTGGCTACATTAATAGGTGACCAAGTAGGAGCCAGATTAATAGCACATGCCGGATCTCTTACAAATTTAGCTAAATATCCTGCTTCTACTGTACAAATATTAGGTGCAGAAAAATCTTTGTTTAGAGCCTTGAAAACTAGAGGTAACACTCCAAAATATGGACTACTATACCATTCGACATTTATTGCTCGCGCAGGTACAAAAAATAAGGGTAGAATTTCAAGATATCTTGCGAATAAATGTTCTATAGCATCAAGAATTGACTGTTTCACTGATTTACCAACTAATATATTTGGTGAAAAATTACGACAACAAGTAGAAGATAGATTAAAATTTTATGAAACTGGAGAAATACCTAAAAAAAATATTGATGTAATGAAAGAAGCTTTAGAAGAAACTGCGCAAGTAATAGCAAGCGTGGAACAAGAATCATCCAAGAAGAAAAAGAAGAAAGATAAAAAAAGGAAAAAAGAAATTTTAGAAAATGGAAACGAAAATGGATTTGTTGAGAATGGAATACAAGAAAAAGTTGAAGAGCCAATAAAGAAGAAAAAAAAGAAGAAATCAAAAAATATAAATGAAAATGAATAAAAAATTTATACATTGTCTTTATATCTAATTATAATAATTATAATCAGATTTTTTTATTCATATCAGTAAAAATTGTATATTAAATATATAATTTTGAGATTTATGTTTTTTGAAACAACTTCAATCTAGTAGCAAAATCTAATGATTCCTATTATAAAATTTAATTCATAATTGACTTGATTTAATTTAAAGATATGTTTTCTATATATTGCAGATTGAGTTTTAAATTTTCTTTAACCCTTTGACTACAAACAGTGCATATAGGCGCTGTTATTTTATGAAAAAACAATTGTTATTAATTATTAAAAATATAATCTTTTATAACTTAAATTACTACTTAGATATACGGATATATATAATGTGTATTATTTTTTCATTTCTTTTTCTATTTTTTTTTATTTCAAGATATGTAGTATTAGGAATAATATAAATATATTTATTCCTGATATTATACAGAAATAAAAAAAAATGCATAACTTTAGATATAAGTATAGATATAATAATAATAGATGTAATAATAAAAATATACATACGTATAAATTCATAATTCAAAATTATACTTGTAATATAAATCTAAACTTTTCTTAAATAAAATTATACAATAAACTAATTAAATTTTAAAAATCTACGCTTTGATAGTTTATATTTTCACTTGTATTGAAAATTTGAATTATTTTCTAAATGAACTTCTAAATGAACACGAATCAATTTTTTATAATTAGTATACTTATACATTTTTAATACAATGTTAAATTCAACTCATTGTTTTTCCAATTAATTGAAATTAATTTTTTATACATTAAAAAGTATATTAATTATAAAATTATAGTAATAATATTTAAATATCAAATTTTTATCTTTTATTGCTTATTATAATTAAAATTAAAATCATAATAACATCAACTTTGCTGTGTATACTGAACAAGTTATTTTTCTTTCATGTCAAATGAAAGAAAAATCAATTTTTTAATTTATGTTTACGAAATATGTATCTTCCAATTTTTTATCGTTTTTTTTTCTCAAAATAGACATTAGAAAAAATCATTCAGTTTGAAATTATATTTTAATATAATTACTTCTATTTTATTCTTTCTATTTTACTAAAGTATAGTAAATAAAGTATAGTAAAAAATAAAAATATATATTCATAAATTAATCATGAAAATGCATAATATGATTAAATAAAAAAAGAAAAATATAAAATTAAAATTAAATTTTATACCAATATTTTATATCAGAAATAAATAAAATTGTAATTTAGAATAAAATAGAATTGTAATTAATTAAATGTTAAATTGGACAGGATAATAAATTGGGCAATTCAAATATGGGGAAAGGTATATCATGTTAAGAATTAAAAAATAAAAAAAAATAGTTAACAATTCATATTAACACCAGCACCAATGAGCATTTAATAACGATAAACCTGTGATGTAAGTATAAATACCGAAATCAACAATTACAATTACCGTGACTACTGTAAACAATATTCAGTCAAAAATCGACGAATTAGCTGTAACTGGTTATCATTCGCACATATATACCGATAAACGACGTAATACACTTCATCAGAGGAACAATAATTTTCCAAGTCTGTAATATCTTTACATAAAATTATAAGGCATATATAAATAGCCGTGCAGTTTAAATGCGCGATTAATATTGATATGTACCCGTACGTGTACTTACATATTGCTTAATAATTTTAATTTGTTACTTCTTATTTTGAAAGGTTTTTTTGTAATAAATGCAATTTAGATATACATGTGTGTATAATATCTAACAATACAAATTTTTTCTTCAAGTTAGTTTAGACTAGCCGATAATTGTAATTCATTTCATACACATGTATAGCAGCACATTACAAATTTTATACAATTTTATTTGTAATGAACAATGTAATTAATTGTTATTAAGTTATATCCATAAAGCGTACAATGAACAATATCATCGCGCGAAAATATCATAAAAATATAATACATACTTAAATAGGAATTAATAACGTGTACTTTAATAAAATGATTTAAAATGATGATTTCTATTTGTTTCAAATTTAGAATTAATAAAACTTTTTGGATATACAATTATTTTTCAATATTTTGTATAAAAATTTATAAAACTTATTTACTAACAAAAAAAAGGTTCCATAATCTTCCATAATCTTCATCATTTTTACCTTGACTTTATAAAGGCCTCTGTAATTCTAGATTGTAATCATGCCTCTCACACGGTTCAAGTGATAATGAAACCGTTTTTATTTATATTGACTATGCTTGTTTATATTTGTATAATAATACATACATATATGTATATACTAACATATACATATTATGTATATATATCTTAATACTTTAAAAATATATTCCCATCTACACCAAATAGTACACTTTATAAAATACTCAAATAATGGAAAATGTAAAGGATTATTTTTCCCTTACAAGATTCAGTCTCTGATACTCGCATAGAAGCCTGTTAATTTCACATCAACTTTGTGAGATGATTTGAACAAAATTTGATAACACAATGATAAAATTTTAATACAGACATAACACTACTTTCAACCACATAGAATAAATTTAGGGCACCTGTTCTATGGATATTAATATATAGAATATTATATAAGCAATAGATTATCTAAATCATTCATCCAAGAAAATGTGTAAATATAAATTTCAACTTTGCTGCAAATTCTGAAATATTTTATAAATTTAATTTCTATTATTCAATAAATAACGGATTATATTTACTATATTAAAGTAAAATTTTACTACAAATATATGTGTAAAACACATCACATATATGTAATAGTAAATAAAACTAACAAATATAGCATGCAAACAATTTTTCCAACATTTTCTCACGAATAAATATTTTAATATCTAAACATTCTACAACAAGTTATCTAAGATATATTTCAGTTATCTAAGATATATCTAAGATATATTTCAGTATCATGCAGCAAAGCTATTACTGAGAATAAACAGTACACATAAAATTAAACAGAACTTAATAATATATTAATTAATGTCTAATTATTAATAATTTTTTTTCTTAAGAATCCCATAAACAATTATCTTAAAAGATATGCATTTCTTCATTATTAGTAATAAAGAACTAAGGAAATGCTACTTCATTTTTCCTTTTGTCATCTATCTTACAAAAATTGTAGAATATCATTATTCAATCACAAAGATGAATTTTTTATAACTATATAATTACATAACTACGAAGTTAAATATTTTACAATAAATCATAAACATATAATATTATTAAATCACCATGCTGAGTGAAGCGTTTTTGAAACACCAAAAATGTCCCATTGCGCTGATTTGTGCTTCTGTGCTTGTTTTAGAAATAATAAAATCTTGTATCCTGCATTATATACTTTTTTTTATTTTAATACTAATTTTATATCATTTTTTCTCTAGTGCAAAACTAACTGTAGTAGGGAAGCACTTATTATTAGTAATATTATTGCATCTTTCTGTTTTTTATAGACGAATAGTATCAATTATCAAATAATTATAGTTAGAATAGAAAAGTGAAACCATTCTTACATTTTAAATCGTTAATGTAAATGCGGTCTTCTAAAGTCTGCAGTAGTTTTATTTTCTATATTCAACCCCTGTAAAAACATTCTCTATTTTTTAAAAATTTGAATAACATTAAACAAAATGCCTTATATCAAATAGTAAATAAAAGTAGTATACTACATCTTTTTCCCGAGTATCTATAACTCACTTTCATGCATATATTACTTATAATATATTATACATGTAAGGCATAATCTTGATTCATTCAATTTACATTATATATAAAAGATTTAAGACAAATTTACCTGATTTGTTCCCACATGATTTTCAAATAACAAATATTCATCAAAAAAAGTATAACATTCGTATTATAGAATGTTATTTGGGAACGCATTTTATCTAGAATTATTAGTTTAACAAATATATCTATGCAGCTGTTCAGAATGTTAAATTAATCAAGTACTTTACTTAGCATTCATTATGATTATATGCAACTTAGTTTTTAATAAATTGCAATTTTATTACATTTTTAAATAAAATAATTGTAACAAAATTCATATCATAAAACATCAGCAAATTATTCAACTTAAAATATATAAAATCCAAAAATTGAAAAATTTTTTTTAACTGTTTGTGAACACATAATTATGCAATATATATTTCATTGATCATTTTGTTCTGACATTTATAATAGCAATTGTTTACAGTTGCACCCTGTATAATTAGACAGCATTGCCCAGAAAATAGAAAATTTATCTCCATTTTTATTAAATAAATAGATTGTTTACAACAAGCCTTGGTTTTTAGTTCCAAGTTATTTCGTTTATGTTTTCTATTTTTGCTAATATTAGCTTTTATTTATTAAAAATGTTTCATTGAAATGCAGGGAAAAATGCTGGATTTAAATGTTGCTGTTGCTGTTGTTGTGGTTGAATCATTGATGATGTATATCTCATTGGTGTTGCTAAAATAATTAAATTATCTATGATAAAAAGTTCACTTTCATGAATCATTTTTAAGATAATTTAAACAAATAAGAAATTTTATTGTTTACAATTATAAATATATAATTATATATTATTATATTATCTAATGTTTTTTTCTCGTAAACGGTAGATGCTGTACAAAAATGAAAGAAGATGAAGTTATATTGTTTTTTATACACAATACAATGATACATAACATTTTTTCCAATTATCTGTTTTTTGAGAACTAACTTTTTTGAGATGATTTCTTCAATTTTTTAAATGGAATGTTATTTTTTTTTTTTTTTTTACATTATATGAAAGCGAATATGAAGATGAATTCAACAACCTATTCAATGACTCTTACACAAGATCACGAATGAAGGAAATAATGTCGAATATTGCACATTACCAGTGTTTCATATTAACTTACAGATGATGTTCAATATAACTTCTACTCGCTAGAATACACTTTTATGTTCTACGCAATATACTTTTGGTGGTTTCTGCTATTTGTATTTATGATAACAATACATTTGTCATTTTTTCATTAACAGCGAGGCATTTGAAACTAACTTAGATTTATCGAAGGCCTGATTGTAGATTTTCTAAATTTTCTCTAAATTTTCGCTATATTTGAGGAATGTAAAAAATGTCTAAAAATTCTTAATTTCACACATTAACAAGGAGACCACAAGGCTTTTGGGTCTGGGATTCAGCTGAAACTTTGTACATTGATAGATTTCGGTTTATGAATATATACCACCATTATAAGGACAGCCTTGCGGTCTCCTTGTGAGTGTGGAACATATTCATGTCATAAATAATCATACGATCTTAACAAATAGTTTTGTATGTTTTGTATACAATAGGTAACAATACAAACCTAATCACAACAAAAAACTACTAAAACTGTAAAATATGAAATATTCATATTGAACATGAACTGTATACACATGAAACACCGGTAGGTACATCAATATGCAATATTCAAAATATTTCTTTCATTTCTGACCTTGTGTAAGTGTGAAGGTCATTGAATGATACATCATTGAATTCGTCTTCATATTCGCTTTCATATAATGTAAAACAAAAAATATAGTATTCTATTTAAAGAATTGAAGATCATTTTCAGTTTTTAAAAGACAGTATGATTAGGAAGATTTTTATATTGCGTATAAAAAACAGTATAACTTTGCCCTCTTTCATTTTTGTACAGCATCTACCGTTTACGAGAAAAGATGCAGTAAATCCGTAAACATCCTGTATATATATTAATTATTAATTAATAATTATTGATAAATTATTAATTTATATATAATAATTAAAAAAATATATAATATATATAATGCTTGTTATAAAAATGTTTTGTAATAAAATTGAAAAAGATATTATATATTTAATAAAAAATATTGATAGTAATACTATATAATGCTGTTTATTACTGTTTATTAAAATGATTAGCTTTATTGTATTTTATAATTGCAAATAGGAAGATTTTATTAACAATAAAGTCAACCAAAAAAATAAATTTCATTTATGAGGTACTTACTCATGAGTTTAACCTGATGTTGTGGACTATTGCTTGCTAATTGATTCATTGTTGGTGCAGGTCCTGCATGTTTAACTTTACTTCCCATTATATTATCAAGATCTATATTTAATCCTGAACCAGCCCACGTAGAACCAATTTGTATATTTGTATTACTGGATGTTTGATTTTTGGAATTAGTAGATGTAGGAGTAAGAAGATTTGTAACTGGCGATAATCCAATTGTTCCTGAATATAGCAATTGTTTTAATTTTAGTAATATTACAACTTATTACTTAACTTGATACTTACATAACTTATTAGATAATAAAATAGATTAAAATCGTTAGAAACTTCAGTAATAGATAAAAATATTTGTCTCTTATTTATTTAATGTATAATATTAAATTATTACAATATTGTTGGGAAGATAAATTATATATAAAAAATATTATGAAACATATAGTATGACATAAATTACGTTTCCTAAATAATATTCATTCATACGTAATATATGAAAGACAGATAAAAAAATTGTTTTATATATTATATTCTTAATGACATGCAACCTTTAAAAATAAACTTAATATGTGCGAAATATTTTGTGAATATTTTTATATTGTTTAAAAGAATGTCTTTATAAATATAATTTAAATCTTATTAATTATGTATTAAATGTTAAACCTATTATATCCTATTAATTATGTATTAAATGTTAAACCTATAATAGACTCAATCAGAGACACTACAGAGGCACCTAAATTTCTACATTCTTTGTCATGATCACCATTGATTACATTCTGAGATAGATCTAAAAGCCACAGTCTTATTTCCATAATAGTTTCAAATAATTCATTTACAATTGTATGCTTTGGTATTGCAATAACTACAGCTGCAATATTTTCTATCACTGCTATTCTAACTTTTGCTTCATCATGGTATCTCAAAATCCACGATAATTCTAAAATTTCTTTTCCCATTTTGGGAGCTAGTAAACAATTCTGTGCTGCTATCATTATTGTAGATAAAGTTTTCAAAAACCGAATTAATAAAATATTTTCTTGATCTGTGAAAATTTGTAATCCACTATTCAAACAAGTATCTTGTTTGCCAAAACCATAAAGCAATGGATAAAAAAATGAAGACACGACATTTCCAAATTTATTTTTAAATGTTTTAGGTGCTTTTGTGCTATGTGCGTATCTTCTTGTATTTAATTCAATTCTTTTCTCAACGATTTCCTGCCAATTTTCTATTTTATCTTCCGACTTTTCAAATTCATCAAAGTCATCACTGTACAGTATTCTGTATTGTTGACTTTTCTCAGTATTAATAAGAAGCGACACTTTATTTGAAATTTCTCTTGTTCTTCGTTTTATTTTAAGTTCGTTAATTGTATCTTCTTTATTTTCGTGAATTGAAATAGTCGATAATCTTCTTGCTGATTCTGCTAATATATCAAGAAAAAATAATCGTTGACTTACAGAATATTTATCTACTTCTAAATAAAACTGTCTGCATAAAAATTCAGCACATTCTTTGGGATAGACAGTTACTATAGCTACACAAGCTTTAAATGTTAATACTTCAAAATTTTCTACATAACAGGATTCTTTAAGTGTAACAAGAAGTTCTAGTAATTCAATTGCAAAAGATATGTCATCACCTGGTAATTGTGATAATATCAATCTTTCACAAATTTCTAAAGATTCTGAAATAATATTTGGGTCTGAAGAATTTTTTTCATTTACTAAATTATCACGTAAATCCCGTAGATACGCTGGTCGTAATTTTTCACTGACTTTTGTATCGTGAGACATATCATATGATATTAAATCATCGTCACTATCCAGTTCCGAATCACTTTTGATATTATTCTTGTCTATATTATTTTCTAAAATTTCTTTATCCAACATAGTTGATTCCTTTAATTTTGCTATGTTTTGTTCGTCTTTATTATCATCTTTTATTTTTACACTTATCTTAGATAAAAGATTACATTCAACGCCTAATTCATACAATTTTTTGTCACCCAATGTATTAAATTCAATATCTTTAAAAATTAGTTCGTTTCTTTTAATATCTTCTTTCTTTTCTCTTAAGACAGTTGGTTTTAAAGCTAAGTTTTTTAAAGATTGTACTAAATCCATTACTTCATTAGACATAATATTATATTCAAAAGAAAGCTTTGGTACAGATTTTGATTCAGATAATTCATCAATGAAAATTTCACCAACAGACATTCCTATCGCTCTTAAAATAATATGTGTAGATTCGAGATGGATAGATATACCAGAGAATAGTAATCTCTGAATAGTATCTTTATCATTCCTGCTTAAATAATTTTTAGACTTTCTTACGCAAGTAATAATTAATTTTGTAATATACTTGTGTTGTTCTACGGAGGTATGATTTAAAGCACTTTTATTACTCCACACATCTAAAAGTTTCGTGAATAATTCGATCAAGATACGATTTTTATCTAAAAATTGTGCTAAATATGAGATTAAATTTATTACTAAACTATCATCATTATAATAACACATTAAAGGTATTTTCGTTGTTAATGTATATTTCCAATTTGAATTTAACAACACTTTACCAAAAATTTCATAAACTCCAAGATTTACATCACAATGTTTCAAAAATAATACAGCTAGTGGCTCTATACTTCGTGTATCTAAGATTTCTAATATATTCTGAATTAAATTTCGTTCATTATTTTTATTTTCAAAACACCACTCTGCTAAAATATTAATAAACGATAACAAATTTTCTGATTTTATAGTGATCATCAATTTACTAATTAAAACTGAAAGCAATTTTAGTTCTACCTTAATATTGTAATGTAATCCAATATTTATAAAAGATATTGCATGAGCAAGATGGAAACTGATAATTTTAAAATACCTTTGAGGAAGAAAACAATCAAATATTTTATCTTTTAATTTATTAGCTACGCGATTAGGTAACGAGATTATAATTTGCACCGTTTTTTGCCATGTTTCATTAAATTCTTCTTCTTGCATTACATTTTCAAATCGACATTTGCATGCATTTGCTATTACGGAAAACAAAGAATCACTTTTCACTAACTGTTCCAAAATTATCGAAATAGCAAAAATTTTTCTCTCATTTTCTGTTTCTTTCAAAGCAAAAACTAAAACAGTTAGAGATTCAGCTAATATTGGTAATGTAGCACCATCAATAATCATCAATTGGTGAACTATTGGATCTAAAATATTTCCTTGTAATGGCCAATTATGATCGAATTTTTTGATAATTTCTTCTAAAATTTTTCCATGTAACATAGAATCACTTTCTAAATTAAAATCAAGATTACAGTATTTTTGTGGAGTAAGTGGACCTGGTAAGAATTTAACGTATTCAGAAATATATAATTTCAGCTTTTCCAAGCTATTATAACTTTTGATAGGACCCATGGAACATAATTCTTCCAAAAGTCGAATTGCAGCATATTTTGAAAGATTTTCAGCTGAAGTGATGCTTTTTTCCACCTTGGTTGCTGCAAGGAAAGACTTTCTTGGGAACATTACATTATCTTCAAATATATCTTCAATATTAAAACATGTACAAAATTTTATAACAAAAATCTTTTTTTCAAATTAGAAAAAAAAATTGTAATTTTCAAAAAAAAATGAAAAAAATATTGTTTTCTAAACAAAATGTTTTATGTTTTAAAATTTCGATTTTATGATAGGTAATACTAGAATGTACATTATCAAAATTTTATATATACATTTAAATATTTTTTTTGTCTGATGATTTATTGTTTAGTAGTTAATATCAAATAGTGATTAGTATTACTAAATCATAAAATCATAGGTACATTTATATTAGTAAATAATATATATTTACCTCCATGGCTAGTTGTGGCAGATGTTGAACTCATATTCAAAAACAAATTAGTATTATTGGTATTGTTTACTCGCCTATCCATAGATCCAGTACTCAAAGAATTTAAGCTATCTAAATCTGATAAAAGATCTATAAAAAAAATTACTTAAAATAATAATATATAATTAAAAATTAATGACTAATAGTATATAATGTACCTGTATTATTGTTCAATGATTGCTGATCATTGGGTGGTTGTAAAGTATCAAACAGATTACTACTCATATTAGGATTTTGAGAAACTGTATTTGTAGGAGGCATAGTTGTAAAAGAAGACGTATTTAATGGTTGGGCATTGATAAACATCGGATTATTTACATTATCTGTTATTGAATTAATATTTAGTATTGTTGTGCCTACTAGATTAACTTGTGTCTGTGGCAGTTGTGGCTGCATTGGGGGATTAGATATTGTAACAGAAGAGTTAAAAGCTGATGTAAAATCTGCAAATTCATCATTGCTATCTTTCGTTTTTATTGCAGGATTTCCAAATGCACTAGTAAAATCTCCAAAATCTGTATTTGCATTCTGAGTTTGTACATTAGATTGAGTATTTGCTCTTGGATTAAAATCATCATCATTATCATCATCATCAACAACAATCGATTTGGTATTGTTCTCATTTTGAGAATCAAAAATATCATTTAAAATATCATTTTTATTCTTGTGTTTAGTAGATAAAGAATTATTTTTTGATCCAGATATACCATTCTGTAAATTTAAGTTGTAATTTTCAACTTAAATTATTATAAAATTAATAATCTCTTTTATGTAATGTTTCTTTACTTACATTAGATTGTTCTCTTCCATAATTTGCTGCAGCCCCTAAATCTACTTTTTTAATAGTTCTTGTTACTCTTGCTGGTGAAACATTTGTTGAAGTTATAGATGTAGCAGTTTTATTAATGCGATCTATGCTATCCATTGTATCTCTGTATTCTCTTCCTCCTCTTTTTGGGCTGGGATGAACATCATTATCGGAATCTTCTCTCTCGCCATCATCACTATTATAAAAATGAAAATAAACAATATTAAGGATATTTGATTATTATTAACGAAAGCTTAATATTTACCTATTATTTGTATCCTCAAAACTTTTTCCTCTACTGTCGCGATCCCAATCATTATAAGTATCTGTATTAGTTTTATCCCATTTTAATCTATCTGTCCACCTATCCCCTCCGCCAAATCTTACACCCATTGCTTCACTTGATAAACCTACATATTTATCTTTATTTTTCTTAGCTTTTTTCCTCTCTTCTCTTAATTTATCATCATCCTGAATGAAATCAATTAATTCTCTGACTTTGTGCCTAATATTTATTCCTTGGTCTTTACCAAATTCATCAATACACGTATAATTTTCTAAAGATCTAAGATCATAAATATGTTCTCTAGATGATGTGACCACTCGTTCTGATCCATTACGAACTAGATAATTCAACAACAACAGAGACTAAAAACAAGAAAATATATATTATTATTTAAATAAAGATATTAGTAAAAATTTTATAAAAATAAAAAAATATAAATATAACATATCATTGGATATAAATGTATTATTAATTTTTATCTTTTATTTTTGTTTAAATTTATAACGTAATTTTCACAAAAAATTTTATATAATTTAAATCAAATATCTTAAGAAAATTTTGTTATTAAAATATTTATTTATTTACTCAGTAACGTGAATTAAATATGTATAGTAGAAACGGATTTACCTTGTACGTTCGACGCCAATTTCGTTTATTTTCTTGCAACATCCTTTTCCACAACATGGACATTACTTCAGGAAATTGCTCGTATGTGAATGTAGCTTGAGCCAGTTCTTGCATCATTGCCCCTAAAGTAATATATACAATTAATTCGCCATATGTCGAACGACAACAAACGTTAAAAATCAACATAAAATTATGATACATTTAAAAAACTTTTGTACAAGAAAATACGTAAAATGATGTATTATCAATATATTATATTATAAATCTATTAATTTTTCATTATTTTGTTAGTTTTTCGCTAATGTATGTACGTATATGTAATACATACATATATATTAGCGAGTAATTAATAAAATTAATAGTAAATAAAAATTAATATTTATAACATGATTAAGCTATTATTTATTACATAATAAAATGCATAAATGATTAAATAGAGAAATTTATAAAACTTTTATTAAAAATATTTTAACTCATGTAAAAGTAAAATTCCAATATATATAAATTAAACAATTAAATAATATAACAAATTAGAATTAATATGAATTATTAAGAACGAAATTGAAATTATCAATATAATAAAAATTAATTTTTTATTCAATTGTTAATAATTATATCAATTGTTAATAACAGAACTTTTATAATATTTATTAATAATTACAACATACAATTATACAAAATTATACAAAAATAAAATTTAAAAAACGTATTTCTAGGCGCTTTTTCATTTTGAAAATAACGATTTATGTATATTTTATAGAGCTCCTTGTGTGTAAAAATATTACGCTACCAGTAAAAATAAAATTAAATCAATAATTATTATTTTACCTTTATAACATTAAACTTACTATCATAATTATAACTTATAATTAGTAATTTGATCATTTATAAATATTACATAAATAAATATCTGTGTACTACTGTGCATCATAAAATTCGCTATAATTATAACTAAATTAAATGATTACCTTAGAACAAATATAAAACAGATATAATTTAAATATTTATAACTTAATAACAACTGTTTAAATGTTTATTCAAGCATTTATACCTGTTGGACCCCAAGCATCATCATTTGTTGCCTCCCGAACTTTGGCTTCCGTTTCTGTGTAGTTCATAACTACATTGGTCCTGTGAGGTTATATTTTATTTTCATTAACGTGTATAAACATATAATAATATATACTAGTATACTATACTAGTATACTATACTGATATACTAGTGATGTATTAATTTTCAAATAGATTGTATGAAATATTATATACATGACTGTGAAATAAATATCATTTCTAAAGTAAAATTACTTTCACATTAGTGTGAATATCTGTTGAATTGCGCAATATTTTTACGCCTCTGCTTGCACACAATATTTTTCTGTTTTCAACTTTCAGTTGATTAATTGTACAGGATTCTGATATTGAAATGCACGATACATACATGTTTCAATATAATCTTTCATTTTTCAATCGTTATAGATGTACACAATTAGCATAAAAAATTTTATTTTATTATCATTTATCTTATCACGGTTTTGTTGAATACATAGTATGTATTTGTATTAATTTAATATATTTTTTCGTTTCTATCGATTTATTCAACAGAAACAAAAGATAAATTAATACAAATGTTCGATTATGTAATAACTTTGTTCAACTTTTAAGACTTGTATCTATATAGAATTATTCGAAAAAAAAATTTAGATATAAAAATATAACATTTCACTTCATATGATAAAATGTGACATATATTTATAAACGTATACAATTAACAAATAATAAAAATGACGAAAGGACAAATAATTTAACACAAACAAATAATTTAACTTAGAAACCACTGTGACGACTAGTTTTTATTCATTTATTATTATTAAACGTTTATAAAAGTATTTAAAGTTTATAAAAGTATTTATAATAATCTGGCAAAAAATTAACGGAATAATCAACATATTTTTCTCTATAATAAATCTTTACCTCCTATAAATTTGATAATTAAACTCACATCAATATTTCTTGGTTAATAAAAAAAAAAAATAAAAAACATAAATTGCCCAGTATTTTAAAAATCATGAATACATGTACATAACAATATACATAACATGTCATCTAAACACGATCATGCTTGGAATCAGAAATCTTTGTATATATATATATAGTCATATACAGTTACAGTTTACATTTGTATTCAGAAAGAGTTGTTAGAGATAATAGTGTCCTTCCGCTTCTCGATTTTCATAGATCGTAAAGAATCTCATGTTTTCGATCGTAATATCATAAGTTAGCCTGGAGTTATCACCTCAAACAAATAATGCATGTAAACAATAGTAACGTGTAGGAACTATTTCCCGGCGTTGCAGGAAAAACAACAAAAGCGAAAGAATCAGAGGTAGCATAATATAAAAACGGATAGATACTACATGTTTGAGAACCACTATGTATTCGATTCAACACTATGTTCGTACGTATAGAATGCAATCAGAACCAATGTAATAACAATAACTTACATTTGATAGTTACACAGAGAAAAAATAAAGAAAAAGAAATATGTTTTGATAACGATGTAAATTTTCTATGAATATTTTACACACGCATCGAATACAACTCAATGAAAGCAAAACTCAATAGTATATAAAAATCATGTAGAATCTGACACTGTTTCGAATAGAACAAGGTAGAAAAAAGATGAATTAATAAACGACAATTCATGAACTTGATGCCATAAAATTTTTCCTATCGATATTCGGTAACAGTTTTTATGTAATTCTATACAACAGATAATAATTAATGCGATATGCCCTATACTGTTACGTAAAATGATTTTACGAACAAAATTGTATAATTCTATTATAATACATTATGATATAAATATATTATATTATAATAATATAATTGTATAATATATTAATTTTCTTTTTTCAAAACTTTCTCAATGGGTAGTCTTACTTATCAAGCAGAGTAACCTAGTCGTGAGATTAAGAATAGCTTATCATTTAATTTTTTGTTGTACAGACAATATTCTCTCTTTTTCTTGTACTTTTTTTGTTAAATAAAAAAAGGGAACAATTTTAATGAATAATCTTTAATCAAAGACCGACCCATTTAAAATATAAAGATACAGGAGTAAACAACGAGAAAAAAATATTTAACTTGAATAATAATTGCAAACGATACATTCGCGTAAGACTGTTTTTATTCATTAACAAATAATACAAAAATATGTATACCAGATACGTTATGTAATGAAAGATAAATTATTAATGCGCTTTATCGTAAAAAATTTTTTTTCTTTCCTGAAAGGAAATTTATATCCAAAAATATATACAATGACAAAACAAATAAATTTCACGAAAAATACAAAAATAGTAATAACAATGAAAAAATATATAAGATAAATATTAAATTACTCGTATTGTGAATGAAATAAGAGAAAAACATTTATTTTATCCTTTCACAGATACGTACATTATTTTTTCGCTATTCTACATAATTTGTCATTGCGCGATATTAAAGTTTACATTCGATTAAGTAAATAAATATGTTCTGCAATCTATGTGCATGACACAACATATTTGTTACGAAAATATTGTTCCGGAAAAGAGTTCGGCAGAGAATCTTTTATTTATTTTCCATAACTACTCGAGAGAAGAAACGTTTAATAAATATAACGCATGTTCACGATAATAGACGAACGATGCGTTAAACAATGTAGTAACTATCAGCGAACGTGAAATTGTAGATGAAAAGTCGTGCAGCATATCGAAAGTAGAATGGAATGCATTGAAAAAAGTAAAAGCAAGGTTAGATCGCATGTAATTGATTTAATTGTACTTACGCCTTATCCATTAATTCCCGCACTTTCCACATGTTCATCATCGTACTTTATATTCCTCACTGGATATAATACTAGTTTTTTCACGTGAAAACTTATACCGATAAATGTTTACCAGCTGTTTTTGGAAGCATTTGATATAGCGACGGCGAACGAACGTCACCAGGCGGTGGCCATGTTATCCCTTCCACATTCCATTGAACTAACAATCGTCACAGGTGTTTTACGTTTGCCAACCTCATTTTTTGTTATCGTGAATCCAATGTAATATTTTTATTATTCCTGCAATATTATATGGCCACCAGTAATCAAAGAAATCCTCAAACCACGAGTCATTTAAACGATCGAAAAGGACTAATCTGTATCGGCCCTATCAGGCTATATTTGTATCTACATGTTTACCTTGACAAATTATAGGACATCGATTAATGTTATTTGGCTAATTGTCGACTATAATTTGTTTAATGATTGTATCTAATTATTTAAAATAGAATTGTTATTCTTCATGCTCTGATGCGCTTGTATTTAAATATAAGATTTCTTTTGAACTATTGCCAACTGATTTAGGAACTCAATAATTAATTAACGATACGGATAATACTTACACACACATATATATATATATGATAATACTTACACATATATATATATATGTACTATATATATATATGTATGTAACTAATATATCATTAAATTGAAAAAAATATAAAAAAAAATATTTAAAATAAAATTAACATTTACTATTGCAAACATTTTGTAAAATGTTTAGAAATAAATGTTTTCTTGACGAAATAAATAAAAACTAAATATTGTAATTACATTATTTTTCCATTGACATTAAAATATTAACATTTGCATATTTTTATTTTATATATAAACAAAAAAAGACTTTTAAACATTTGCAATCATCTTCTTTATTATATATAAAATATACATATATTACAAATAACATCTTGCAATAATATACAATTTAGCACAATATATTGAGATTATAAATGTATCAATATATTGAGAAATATAAATCAATTAATTGAAAATAACAATTTTCAAATATAAATACATTATAAGACAATTTTTCGTTTTTGTATTTGATGTTTAATCAAGGTAATCTTTTTAGTATTTTTAGAAATATCAAAATTTGAATACAAAATCATCTTTATTGTAGAACATTAAATACTGTTTATATCATTAATAAAAAATGCATTTAATTAAATTATTCATCTTCTATCATTGTTTATTTTTACGAAGTGAAATTTGTTATGTTATTTATAATATAATGATAATATGTAAATGACTTCTATTTCTTCTGTATAACACCAGATGGTGCTAAAGAATAGATATAGTTTTTCTTATTATAAGCATCTATAAGGTTATTATTACTTTGTGGTAAATATACTTGTTGGATTGGCTGGAAGAATATATAGAAAAACGAATGAAAGAAGATATTGCGTTATGATTTATCTTTTATGTTGCAATTTTATTACTTTAATTACATTGTAGAAAATGATTAGTAAATGCGCGTGCACGAATATGTTACTTGTAATAAAACAGGAGTCTTTCAATCAAAATGAAAATAACTGCCGTTAACGAAACGATAACGAGCATATGTATAAAATTTAAAGATGTCAGGACGTGTTTAAATTGTCGTTATCACGGAATTGACAATGGAAGATTTTAACGATGGTGTGGATGGTAAATTGGCTTTTAGAATGCGAAAAGTCAATCCAGAACAATTTCACACTCTCGTCAAAATGCATCTATCATTTGAATTAGACCTTAATACCGAAGAGTAAGATAATAATGTTATTTCAAATTTGAATTTGAAAGTTGATTTTACAATTTAACTCATTATTTGCTAAAGTAAACTTTATAGATCTTAAAATTATGTTAAAATTGTGTTATATAGCAATGATTGCGTCAATGAGAAAACGAAACTGAAAAAATGGAGTCTCTTAAGTTTTTCAAAGAAACCTAAGTCAACAATTAATTTACAAAAAGGAATTGAGGGAGCTAGCTTATCTGAAGATGGGATAAATCAAGTGAAACAGTTAATAGAATACTTGTCTAAAGAACAAAGTAAGTAAAAACTATTATGCAAATTTACATTATTTGAAAAATATTTTAAATAATATTTCTATGTCCAAAAAATTTACAGACATTATACAAGAAGGAATATTTCGACGTACTGGTAAATTAACAAGACAACAAGATTTAAAAAATGCATTGTATCAAGGCATTCCATTGAATCTTAATGATGGCCGATATAGTGTACATGATTGTGCATCAGTATTAAAAGGATTTTTGGCAGATTTACAAGAACCACTGTTAACGGATTTGCATTATCCTACACATTGTCAAATTGCTGGTAAAGAAAAACTAAGTTACATTTGATTTCTTTATTTTTATTTTTTTATTTGAAAATGTATTTTTTATTAATTATAGAATTATGTAGTTCTGATGTAAATGGGAATGATGCAAGATTATTAAGATCTCTGCAATTGATTTTATTACTTTTACCATCCATAAACAGAGTTTTACTTAAGTGTGTCTTGAATCTTTTAAATAAGACAGCTAGTTTTGAATCTAATAATAAAATGAATTGTGATACCCTTGCTACACTTTTTACACCTCACCTAATGTGCCCAAGAAAACTTTCACCGGAAGCTCTACATATCAATTCTCAGAATTTATCATGTTTAGTTGCTTTTATGATTAAAAAAGAAAAAGAACTATTTGAAATTCCACCAAAACTAGCTACAGATATCAGAGCATATTGGGTAGAACAAGAAAGAAAATTGCTGAGTCCTAAAAATGTAGATGTAAGTTTTTCTTTTTTTTTTTTTTTTTTTTTTTTTTTTTCAAAACTATTAAATGCTTAAAAACAATTATTAATTTAAGTATTCACTTGTTATTGCAGTTAAATGAATCTATACCAGATACAACAGGTACAGCACACACGGTATTCAGTTTTGTAGATCATAAATTAACAGCAAAGGCAAATTCTACGCAAGATACTCAGGCGGCATTAGCACAACTTTATGCTCATATACAAGCTATGCCAGAATCAGCTAAAAAACGCAGACTTGTAAAACAATTTAATAAAGAAAATGGTCAAGGCACACCTAGACAAGTTAAACATTTTCGAACTAAAAGTCTGGGAGATTCAATTAAAAAGCACATATTCCAGAAAAAGATTTTGGGACACAAAAAATTTGATATTAATATAGGTTGCAATATCACTAGATCAAATAGTGAAGAAAATATATTATCATCGGTAAGATATATGCAATGTAATATTTTCCATAGTTGATATTTTTCAAGTTCATAACAGCATGTTAATTCTATAACATGTAATTATATTTATAATAGCAGTCCATAATTAATATATTTTATTTGCATGTTTTTAATTATACAGAATCTAGAAAAATCATTACTTCAAACAAAAATATTACTTAGCAAATCAGACGATGAGCTTAGCATAGAAAACTATGATACAAATAATGATAGTCTTCTTCATACTAAACATATTAGTAATAGTACCGGTAGTCTTAATACTCCCAAATTAAGAAGTTATGAAAGTAAGAGAAAGGCTATATTGATGAAATTTGTAAATATAAAAGAAGAACAAGTTGATGACACATATCATGATTGGAATATAAATAAATCAGATAAAGGATCATATATAGATGAATCTATAAATTCGATGTCAAGTAATGCAAACATATCTCTGCAAGAGTTTAATAATAAAGAGTTAGCAAGAGATAATAATATTGCAATTAATACTGTTAGATTATCTAGACAACTCAGTGAACCACCACATATATATTCTTCTCAAACTACTTTGAATGAAATCAGCCAAAATGAATTATTTAAACAAAGTTCAGAACTTACATTTTCAGTATCAGGAGCAATTGGAGAAAATGCATCTATAGTTAAATGTAGCAATGACAACAAGAAAATGGTGGAATATTCAAAAGTGGAGTCATACACTGATGATGCATGTGTTCATATATCTCCTATTGTAAAAAATAGATTTTGGAATGTATATGTTACCCATACATCAACGCCATCAAATTTATTACGTAAAAGCTTAGTTACTAATGACTATGTGTTAACTCCTATTACTAACAATGATAAAAGCATGAGTCCAATTACACAAAGTGCTACTAAAATGACAAAAGCTATGCAGGTATGCATTTATAATATTATTTCTAATATTATTATTATTTTATTTGTTTCTTTTTCTAATTGTTTATAAATTTAGATATATATTTTTTATATTATTTATATTTACATATATATCATAACTTTGTAGTAAATTTAACTTAATAATATTTTATAAAATTATATTTAATTATTTTTAATTATATTTTTAATTATATTTAACTTAATAATATTTACATTTATTACAGGAAACAATGATGACACCACGATCTAGAAAACCAGTAATGATGGTTTCTGGATCAAATTTATGTAATCTTGCTTCTGTTAATGATAGTTGGAATCAACAAAATATATCTAATGACATACGTGAATCAAACTTTGATATTATTGGCCCAATGAATTGTACTTCAATTCCAGAAGAATCTCAAAAACCTAATAGCACAAACAGCGAAATTGTATATAATGAAATTATTAACTTTGAAGACAAGGAAAATTTAGATAAAAATACAATGGAAAAAGGAATATTCGTTACATCACTTGCAGATGATTGTTATGCAATTAAACAACAAAGTACCATGTCTATAACAAGCACATTTAGAGAATATTTATTGTCAAGAAGTGTATTAACTGCTAGTCCTGTTGATCTCAGTTTTTCGTCACGTACTGGAGATTTCGAACAATCAGAATCCGATTTAAATATCTTAAATGAGAATGGCCTTTCTGAAAGCTTATTTTGTTGTTTAAATGGAAATCAACCAGAATCTGATACTTCTGGTATTGCATCTGGTAGTACTAATAGTGTGAATTCGTTGGAAAAAAATGAGGAAGTAACAAGTTCACCAAGAAAACGAGCAACTAGTTTACAGCGTAATGATTCTAAAAGATCAATAAAAGAATCTAGAACGTTAAATAATATACCAGGGCAAAGTTTCAGAAATAAACAATTAAGCGAATCAACATTAAATTCTGTGAAAATAAAAGACGCATTCCAAGAAACTTCATTTTAAGATATTCACAATTTGCCAAAATCGACATGTTTAAATATATTGTAGTTTAATAATACATTAATTTCTTTATTTTTGTGTAAATTTTTTCTCTTTAACAATACTTTTACTTTGAAAAAACAAATTAATATAAAAACCTATTATATCAATAGGTTTATTTGTCAATGGTATAAAAACAAAATTTCAAAATTTACTTTTATTATCTGATTTTTTATTTTAAAGCTTTCATTACTTCTGTATTTTTATAATAAAAAAAATTGGTATTATATTAATATGTGATACCTTTAAATTAATAATATTTATATGGTGAACAAATTTTGTATTAAAGTATAATGCATTTAATTTATATGCTGTCCTAAAGTTTATACACTATATAGTTTGTTAAATTATTCATATATATATATATATATATATATGAATAAACTTTGTGTATAAAAAGAACAAATGAAAGTTTTTTTCATTTACATTCACTATAGATATACTTTAAAATGATGATTAAATTCTTGTTTGAAAGATATATACAATGATACTTTATTATATTATTATATATTATATTGCTTTTACTATATTGTTATATATTAAATATATTATTTTATATATTTAATATATAGTCTGTATTTATGATTAGTTTTATTATTATATGTAATTATCACATTTCAATTACATATATCTTTATGTGGAGTAATGAAAAATTATGTATCAGTAATTGAACATTTGTGTGTACTCATTCAGTGATATTAATCTGTTAAAAAAAGTCTCAAAATTGGCTATCACCTTGAAGTTCAAAATCAAACTTTTTTATCGCACTTTGCTAACTGTGAGAGTTAAACTTGTTAAAAAAATCATCTATAACTATATACACAATCAGGTAGTACGTAATAAAAATATTCTTGTCAATCCTAAAATAACTATACGACCTCAAATTAGTTTCCAATTGTTTATTTTAAGATTATCTGATTGCTTTTTATGTGACAAAATATTTCAAATGATAGAAGATATGATTTGGTGACATATTAAAAAATAAAATACGATTCCATTTTGAAGAAGAAAAAAAATTGATCTCTATAATATTTTGTATACGTTTACATAGAGAAATTAGTACATACCAAATACAGAAATTAATATTAGTAATATCAAATCATATTCTTTTTGATATGTACCATTCTTTTAGAAGTTCTGTTTCATTGTTAATAGTATGCTATTTACTTTCTATCTGATTATGTAATTTATGGATTTTATATTGTGAATATCAATTTAAGAAACTAGTAGAATTAATACATACGTTGATTGTAATTTAACGAAATTGAAACTTTTTATGAAACACTCGTAGTTAACATCTTAAAATTATTTTTTAAGTTCAATCATTTTTCATTTGCGGTTTTTTTGAAGCTTTTTATATAAAAACAAAAATTGATCTTGCCATTGACATATATTGAATTTCTAGAAAAAGTCATTTTGCGGCAACTTTTTTTTTAACAAATCAATTCAAAAATGTGGATTGCTCTGATATATAAATTTTTGACATATTGTACAGTACAATTTCTTTGAGACTCATAGTTATTTATATGTGAATTTCATCAATTTTTATAATTTTTAAAGTTAGTACACTAACATAATAAATATTAATTTATTTTGATAAAATCTTTTATAGATAATAAAAAGAAGAATACAATAACTTAAAAATCATTTTATTAATACATTTATATATGTAACACATTTTTTGATATACAAAAGTACAATATAATATATATTGTACAGATTTAAATAAATTCATTTCATTAATATTTTAATAATAGTATATTTAATATTGTAGAAACAAATATAAAAAAAACTTAATTGCCAAAAAATTATAAAACAATACATTTTTTATTTATCTGTCATTATTACATATTATTTATCTACCATTTAAATTAAAAAATTTTATATACAGAGGCCGTAAATAGTAGTAGTACAACTGCATTAAAAATGATTCTACATAAAAATATATATAAGAAATATTTTTTCAAAACTTTTTCGCCTGAGATCTCGTTTTTGAGAAAATCGAATTTGAAAAATCATGAGAAAATATCAAAGAACAAGTTCAATTCAAGTGTTGAAAATATTATGAGAACAAAAAAATTGTACAGTAATTTGATAAATTAAAAAGCAAAAGTACATTAAAATCCACTAATTTGCCCTTAATTCGTTGGACCAAATTACATTTGCAGTAATGAGGATGATATTTCTAATATAATCTGTAATGCAATAAAAAAATGAGTAATTTGCAAAAATCGATTGTTATTTTAATTTTAATTATAGCTTCTGTTCAATTTTCAATGGACAGAAAGAACCAAGGACAGAATAGTATGATAGACAAATTACACTCAATCATATGAATACAGATTTGCTCGAAAATAAAGCTTCAAATAAAAAAATGTTATGTTAAATTGTTTGTTTATTTTTTCAGGTAGAATTATCACTGTTCTAGTAGAATCGCCACTAGTTTACTACTACTCATGGCCTGTATACTAAATTTTCTAAATAGAATGTTCTAAATAGAATCATGAAATGGATTTATACACTTGTAACAATATATTTTGTAAATTTATTAAACATATAATATATAAATAATATTTTACACATGATTTCATCAAATCAAATCTTTCTTTCTATTGTGTATTCGTCTTTATTTTTAGTTTGAAATACAAGGAAATTATTGAAACAAGAATTCTTTATACAAAATATATAAAACTGATTGTAGAAAAATATACAATTGCTAAAAATCTGTAATGTAATGAATATGTTCATTTGTGTATATATTATATATTACGTAATATAGTTGATAAAATACTATGTATCAGTTGTAATAGATTTCTATTTAAATATAATATTTGTATACAATAGAAATTTGAAGATCTTTAAAAGTATGATACAATTATAATGCATACATTTTTCACATTAAATACAAGATTAATGTAATAAGACTAAAACTATATAAATTCTCATATTATTGACATCTCACTATTATATTATAGTTTCATAAAGAAATTACAGTAATAATTATTCCTATTTTTGCAATTAGATAATATACTCATATTTCACAAGTTGTCATTATTATCAAAAAGAAAATGATGTGTAACATGTATCATATACCTCAGAATTATGTGAAGATGTAGATGACAAAGTATTAGTAGTCAAGGATGTGGATATAGGTCAGAACATATCATCATGACCCATATCTGGTATGTATGATAAACCTCGTTCTTTCAGAGTTTTATTTATTAATCGTTTCTGATCTTGTTTTAATTCTTGTTCTCGCCTTTGTGCGTCTAAAATATCATCCACAGATACTTCAGTTAACGGTAAATCTCTTTCTTTATCTCTGTCCTAAAATTGTGAGAAAACTAATACACATTATGAATTAAAAATATTTAAATAACATAATTTTTTGTTACAAAGGAATTACAATTTCTCCCAAAAGGACAACATTTTCTCCTCTGACAATAAAAATGCCTCTTGGGATATCTCCATATTCTTTACCAACATGAATTCTTTCAATTGTACGATGAAGCACAATATTAGCAAATTGATCAACACTTCTAAGATATCCAATTAAAGTTCTGCCATCTCTTAGTAAAACCATAAGTTTTTCTAAACCAGAATTATATATCATATATATTATAATAATGAAAATAACTTTCACCGAAGTAAAAAGTAAAATACATAAATTTTGTCAAAATTTTAATGATTTACATGAGTTTAAAATAAATAATAAATATCATACGTTTAAATAATAGATTTTTTAGTAATAAGAAATATAATATTGTATAGTAAAAATATGCATACTTTTATATATATAATATTTATAAAAATTATTAATTTGAAATTAATTATTAATTAAAAATGTGATGACACGCTAATATAACCTAACAAACGTACAATTATGAATACGTACTGTCAAGTTCTTCTAGAAGAGACGCTGTTCCTGGTAAAATATTCATTTTGCAATTTCTTTTATTTCTGACGTAAATAATTTTCAATTAAAACAACAATCTTATGCGCCAACTTAACCTGTAGTAAAATGTAAAACTAAAATCATTTCGCTTATTCGTTGATAATCGTTTGAATTATTTTGTTTTTTTTAACTAATAACTTATTATCTAATTAATAATATTGGTAAATTTATTTAATTACAAGATTAAAATAACGTAATTGTAATCATTACTTTCATGTTTATTTAAAAGATCCACACAAGTCGATATACATACATATTTTGGAGATTTTTATTGTATGTATACACATATGTAATGTAGTCATAATCAGCTAAAATGTGTTAATTTGAACTATTTGAACTAAAGAAAAAATATATTATGTTTAACAATATTATAATATCATTATTAACAATAGCTATATTGTACATAAATAAATGATCGTAATATAAGAAAGATTAAAATAATATAAAATAATTGTATATAGTACTGTAAATATGGTCAATCTACATCTTTTTTATAAAGATTATTTATTATAAAAAGCTTATTTAAAATAGATCGGTAAAAAAAATGTTATACTATACATATATACATACATAAATGTAATTTAAACGAAATTTCATTGTGAAATTTGTATTTTTCAAACTACATTTTATATGTTCTTTAAAATTATATATTATTTAATATATTATTATATATTATTTAATATGTTTGTAACAATTTTAATATTTAATTTTATTTAATAATTTTATTTATGATGTTAAAATAATAAAATTCAAATTTTGTAAAATTATTATATATAAAATGAATAAACATTTAATTACAGAAAATATATTTATAAATTTAAATATAATGATTTTATATATTATATATTTAATAATTGTAATTTAAATAATAATTAACTAGCTGATCAAGGAGTAAACTCATCACCCCGTGTGTTATCCTTATTTTTTTACATATCGTCACGAAAAACTATATTACGTTTACATCTAAAATCGACTTTATTGATTTGTTTTCATTAAATTTGCAGAAACTTTTAGTAGAGAAACTATTTGATTAGTAGGTCAATATGATTTAATATGATTAAAATATGTTGATTTTAATATACATTTCTAAATTTTATAACTAACATTAACAATCATGTAAGTATATACTTTGGACTGTAGACTTGTATTGAAAAATTATCGTTTAATACTTTATAATTTTGATTAATAATATTTTAGTAACTTTAATATTGTTTAATAAATAGTAATAACAATGTAATACATATAATTTCTAGAATTACCGGGTACCGATATATACATGTTTGTGTGTACATAACCTTAGAAATGAAGAGATTTTTTAAAGGAAAATTTGTTCAGCAGTTTTTACCATTTATGATACTCGTTATAGGAGGTTCGTTTGTTGTTCAGGAATTTGTAGGCCTAAAGTATGTACTTCAATGTTGCAATAAAACTTATTAAATTTAAATTAGTAAAATTAAAATTTATTAATTTAATTATTTTATCTTTTCAGATATAAATATCCAAGGATTATGTCACACGATTTAGATACAGAAATTAAAAAACAAGGTATTAAAATGAAAAAGTCTCGTACTCTCGAAGAGGAATATGAGCTAATGAAAGTAAGTGAACTTTGATTAAAGGATATTTATTAAATATATGAAAAATATTATTTTTTTCATGGTGAGAATTATTTCAACTTATAATTATATCACAAATTCTTTTTATTAATGCTTGAAGTTGACTACATAAGTTACTAGCATCATTTGGCCCTAATCATTCTTATAAATTCGCTTCGAGTATTAAATGTTGTGCATTTAAGATGAGGTTCGAATGGATCTAATTACTACCGTCTAAATATTAATGTTATCATTTGAACTGAAATTCCCTCACATCTTTAAATACTAATTTATTCATCATTAGGAAAAATATAAAATTTTAACTATTCTTTTAACAAATTATATTTATTAATAAATTTATTGATATTTATTAATTATATATACTTAAGAAATTTATAATTTTGTCAAGTTATATATTTATAACTTTTGTCAAATTTTGTCAATTATACAAATACAATTGTTTGTCTGTCAAAACTAGAAACAAGAGCATGCTATTTTTATATATTCACAAACGAAAAATGCAAATAAAGTTATGAATATTTATATTGATAAATATGGTTAACACACAATATTTATATATAAAGCACATTATGAATTATACATCTGTGTGTTACATTTAGTATTACATCTTTAGAAACAATTAAATAAAATTATATTGTAAAAATTTTGCAACTTATAAAAATATTATTGTTTTTAAAAAAATATAATTGTATTAATATATTAAATAATCATAGAAAATGTGCTTTATATTGATACATATATTTAGAAGTTCGCTTGATATAGTCATAGTAATATTTAACTTCATGTTTATAGACTTTAGATATTGATAATTGGGAAAATATTCGTATATCACGACCATGGGAGGAATCAAATGTAAATAATTGAGATTCTACTTAGAAGAAATGTTCACTTTAAGAGGAAAAAGAACATATGTACATGTCTATATGTATATAGTATTTATAAACAATTATTGTAGGGTACTATAGTTATTATAAAGACTATATTAAAATCCTTTATACATATGACTGTAATAATTAATAATTGAAGAAAGTTGTGGCATATGATTTCTATCAGTAATTATGTTGTGTTACAGATTGTAATTCTATAAATAAATAATATCATTAATTAAATTAAGAAAAGTTTCAAAATTTTAGCATGTTACACTTACTTTTTTTTTCAAATCCATAGGTGCTTAATAAACTTTGTTGTCTTTGTACTGAATGCAAATGTTGGCTTCGACGTGTATTATTTGCCATGTTTATTTTGTTATTTGTAGACTGAAAAAACATATGTATATGTATATATATATATAGTTTATATGCTTATGTGTTTATATGTGTTATATGTATATATTTTATATCTATACTAAAAATAAATAAATTAAAACAACTAAAATATTCTTGATTTTAAAATTCTTTTAAATTTTAATAAATTTGATATTATTTCTGATAATTTGTAATATGTAAATTATCACTTATTAAAAAAATGTTTACCATGTAATATTTACCATACGAGAATTTGAAGAATTTTTACTTTTATTTTTTTTTGTTCTATTATTTGATTGTACAAGTACTTTTGTATCAGACCATAATCTACTATTTGAAATGTTTAGATCTCCTTGTTGAACTAAGAAGTCGGAATCTGTATTAAATTCCAATGATGTTAATGAAGTATTTATATTGTTTAATTTATTTGTATTACTATTTTTTATATTTTCATCCATTGAAATATCTAAATGTGATATTTCTAAATCACAATTAGAAGCGTTTGAAGTTTCAACATTTTCGTATTCATTTAATATAAATGAAGTATTATGTTGTTCATCAATATCAATACAACATGAATCCTTTTCCAGTTCATTACTTTCCATTGAAAGTTGTAGATTAATATTGTTTGTCTGTTTATTTTTATCTGTTTTAATATTTTCTTTTTCTACTAAAACTTCATCTGAATTCATAACTGAATATATTTTACTATCATTTATTGGAACATTATTTCTTGGATTAACATCTGTAGCAAAAAATTTACTCTCTGTGACAGTTTCTTCATCTATAATTGTTCGCCTAATATGCATTATATTTCTTCCCTTTATTCTACTTTTACTTGTACACAAAAGACTTGGAGAAGTTTTGATAGTAGATGAGTATTTTGAAAATTGATTTTTTCTTCTAATTAAAACAGGAGATACTTCATCTTCACTAGGAGTAAGATCATTTATATCTAGGTTATTTTCAACATCCATTGTATTTGTAGATTTATATGTATCTAATATTTCCTTTTGATTTAATTGTTCGCATTCTATAATAATATTTATATATATATATATATATACACTTAATGTACATTTAATTATTATTAATAAATTATACTTAATAAATTATTATTAATAAAAATATATTAAATACATTTAATTATTTAGATTCAATAGTTATTATATTATCATTTCTAATAATATTGTACAATAAAATAAACTTCATACCAGAATTCTCTTGTTGTCTCACAAAAATAGATTTTTTTAAACGATTTGTTTGAAGAACTGCTTCTGAATTAACAGTACACCAATCCTCAAGATTCTTTTTTTGAAGAGACTTTTGCAAATGATTTTGCATTAATTCATATTTTTTTGACCAAATACTAATATGTCGAGAGAGTCTTGTTTTTTGTGCCCATGTATTGCATTTATTAACTTCATTCTATAAAATTCCACATTTGATAATATTCAATGTTTAATATCTATTATGTGTATTTATGTATTTAATATTTACTTCATAAAAAAAGAATTTTGAAATAATATTATTTGATGTTAAAGAAAGTCTTTTGAAATAATATTTTATTAATATTCTTATATCTTTAAACAATATTTACCCTTATTTGATCAGGATCAAAATTATGAAGCATTTTTAGAGTAAAAGGATCACAGTTTCCAAGTGCAAGCTGTAATGCTATGTCTGGATCTATTTCTGTACCAGCATAATATAATTGTTCTTTTGTTATATCAGATGTAGGTGAATTTAAACGAATTTGTCTTCTTGTTAAAGGACAAAATATTAACTGATGCTTAAAAGTAATAACTGCCAATATAAATGAATCTCTATATTCTTTTGTAACAACTAAAGATTTCATATTTAAATAAGATCCTAGTCGAGTTAAAGCCTATGAAAATAAATACATATTTATGTCTAAATGTTTTATCAAAAAAATAATTTATAAAAACACATGCAAAAATATTTACTCTATGTATATCACAGTCTGTATTTATTTTTATAAACTTCCGTGCTTTGTTCAATCCAATACCAGGAAGAGATGGCAAGTAATCACAGCCTGATAGAATACACATATAAAGGAAATCATCCATACTAAAATGTTCAGAAGGTATTCCCATTGCAAGATGCAATTGTTGTTGATCAACTAAAAGTCCATTACCATTTAAATCCATTTTAAACAGTACCTGCAAAATAAAATATACGAAATGAATATATTTTTGTGATTTAGAATATTATATAAAATCATTTACATATTTATTTTTATATTTGAATCAATGGTAAATATGTAAAAACAGTTCTATTAAATTTTTAAAAATATTAAAATCATATAAGAAAATATAGAAACCTTTTTACAACCAAATAGTGTTAAATCACTATCTTCAGTAATAACAACATCAGCAATTCCACTGATATTAAGATATGCTAATTGTGCATCTGCTTCATATGGTGCTACAATACAATCAATATTTAATTTTTGACATTGTTTAATTAACTCTAGAGCCATTTCATGTGTAACATCTATAGATCTTCTTAATAAATTTCTTGCCTCCGCATGTTGTCCCATTCGCATTAGCTCAATACCTTTGCGGCGATTTATCTGTCTAGATCTATAAATACATGAATATATTATATTTAATGAACAAATTAGATTTATCTGAAAATGTGTAAATATCTTGTAAAATAATCAAAAAAATATTTGAAATGACTGTTGTAAGATATTAGAGAAAATATTATTTAATTTTGTAATGACTTTGAAAACTTTGTGAATAAATACACACACACATATATATGTATTCATATACATATTCATATAATTGAAATTGTGAAACATTTCCAAAATATTGTTTGCATATATATTTTGCACAATTTTAAGACATAAATGTTCAATGTTAATGTGCAACTCAACATTATTTAATGTACGCCATGTACATCATAATTATCCAAAATGTTTAACAGGCTCAAATAAATATCAAAAAATATTTCAGATAATGTAAATTGAATATAAATTTTAAAAGGAAAAGAAAAAATTATCTAGTGATCAATGATAATAAAAAATATAGCATTTGGAAAACTATGATTAAATACTATTTTTGTAATTTTTCACTCTTACATTTCAAAATCCTTTGATTTTGATGTTCTTTCAATACAGTTATTATTTTAAGATATTACTTTCAAAATGTAAGTACATTTGCTTAATGTTTTTTTTTTTTTTTTTTTGATATTTTTGAAACATGTCTTTCATACTTTTCATACTTGTGTATTTCAAGTTAATTATCGATTCAAATCAATTCTTTTGATTTGACTTTTTAATATATTCAATTGCGATTTTGAATTATTAAGTATTACTCTAAAAATTATCTTAATTTTATAGAATATTTAAGCCAATTTTTCAAAGAAAACTGAATTATACATACTCTCGTCGTTTTAGTTCGGTTTGTGCTTTTGCAGGCAAATGTCTTCCATCAAATACAAGTATTGGTTTTATTTTATGAGATAATAACATATTTATAAATTTCATACAATAACGAACGTATCTGAAATACAATAACGATTAAACAATGATTTGTGTCGATAAACAATGTAGTTAAACAACATGAATTTCTTACGCATCTGTTGGTTGCCCCATTGATAATTTTTCAGCACAAGAAAACACACCTTTATGCAACCAACAATAAGAATCGATAGCAACCGTACCAGTAGAAAATTGACTAACGTTCGTTCTTTTTGAGGCTTTTTCTAAAAATGGAAGTAAACCAGTGATGCCCATCTTTCACTTTAATGTAGTAACGATCAACAGTCACATAGAACTGATTGTGAGTTCGCTAATGTTACCGTTAGGTATTCGCATTGCCGCCAAAGTAAGATCGATGACTACAATGATGTTAGATACGTAACTCACCAATTGGACATCAGGATGTCTCGCGATTCGTGATCAACTGATTGGCAGGTGATTCTACATATAAAAATGTATCGAAGAGAAAGAATAAAATTTTTTCATTAAAATCTAAAATTTAACAATTGTACTTGAATTTAGTTAATTTCTTACTGGACAGGCGGCAATAATCGGTACGAGGATGTGCGTAAAAATAAGTAAAAAAAATATAAAATATAACTTTTTCACTTAAGGTGCTTCTTTTTCAACAAACTTTGAATATGTTTTGTTAAAAATTACTTTGAGTACACGTGTACTTGATAAATTTTCAAAAACATATTATAGGGAAATTTTATTCTACGTTTTTTATTTATTTTCATACGTAGAATAACTTCATATCAATTATGTATTCCTTTTTATCTAAAATTAGCTAAATTCAAGTACAATATTTGATAAATTTTTAAACTCAATTTTCTTAAAAATAAAAATTTTAATGAAAAAATTTTATTCTTTCTTTTGACGCATTTTTACATGTAGAATTCCAGTCAGTTGACTACGAATCAAGACACCTTATGTATCTTTCGCAAAAAAAAAAATAGGGATTTAATTTTGCTCTTTATAAAGTAAAATGGTATAATTAAATACAAAAATTAAATTTGAAGTGTATTTTATGCGTAACGTAAAAATAATTTATGCTAACGCAAAAGTAATTTATCCTTATTTTTAATAATATTTATTAATTTTGAATATTAAATTTTGAATTTTATACTCTTTAATATTATTTTAATAATCATGTTACTCTAATTCTTGAAAATATGAAATATATTTCTAAAAATCAAACAAATATTTCATATTAAACGCATTTACGTCTACATAGTGATTTTGAATTATGTGCAATAACAATAGTGTATATTGTAAAATATATTTATATTTAAATCATATTGCTATTTTATGATAATCTTATATATCTTACAATAATTTTTGAACGCCAAATAAATAATTTATATGAAATAATTTTAAGAGTAAAAGCGTTATTAATAAATTCAATAATATTTATTCACTTTTAAAGCGTCATTATACACTTATCATAAAATAGATAATAAATTATATAATTATTAATATTTTTTTAATATTATACTATTCAAATTCATTAAATAAATAATTTATAAATTTAACATTCATATATTATAAATATGTATGTATCGATACGATATATTGCCATCTATCATTCATTATTGTATTTAATATATTTTAATTGTATTTTAATATATTTTATAATGTTCCTTCTTTTTTTTAATAGTACGACATATTTGAAATTTTTTGAAATTTTTTGAAATTTTCAAGCTTTTGAAACTGTCAAATTAAATTTAACAGTTAAAAGAAGGGACAATATGAATATGAAATATATATATTCACGTATACATAATACATGATATATACATGATAAATAAAGATAAATATATGCACGTAAATTTAGCTTTACGATGGAACTCAATTTATTGCAACGAAATTGCATTTAATACTCGATTAAATGAACTCCAACCCATTTGAATTTCTATTGTATGAACGAAAAGTTGTAAGTAGTGGGGAGAAACAGTGAACTCCTATTATATGAACTCCAGTTATATGAACTATTTGTCCGAATGGTTCAGATAGATGAAGTTCCATCGTGTAATTTAATGGTAGGTTATAATCATTTTCATAATTTAGATGTTTAATTTTGTATATAAAAAAAATTCAGAATAAAAAGTTCCATTACTTTCGAAATTTCAATTTCTTTGTTTAGAGTAGGACTATTTTTTCATTTATACGCCGTTATTGCTTTATTGCGAGTATAATTGATCTCGCAACATTACACAATTTGAAAGTAACGAAAGCTTAATATTACAGTTCTTAATGATTTATTTCTTGTGCGAATCATTAATATCTATACATGTTTATATGCCTAATTTGTCGTACACATTGTGAATTATTAATCTCAAATACAGGTTTTACCATTTTAGGTTATATACATATTTATAATATTTGATTAAATACATTTTAATCATTTAAAATGTTTTTTTTATTTCTCCAATATTAACAAATTTCAATTGAAATTGATTTAAATTTAAACTAGCTAATTTAATACCTCAAATAATGTTTTGATTATTATTATCAATTTTTATTCGTCAGCTTTTAAATTTGGGGTATTCTATGTAATAGTTCATAATAATGAAATATTATCTTTAATATAATAAATATAGTATAATTTTGAAAATCTAAAGATTTATAAGTTTAATAAAATCATATTTTGAAATATATTATCTGATTTATATTTTACAATATTTTATAATACAATCAATATCATTTTTTCATCAAAAGATGAAATTTTCAAAGAAAATGATATTTATTAATAAAAGAATAATTAAATTGATAATACTAATTTGGAAATCTATTTTATTTTATTTTTATTTACTATCTACAAAAGAGATAATATAATTTTATTTAGCAGTTAAAATATTATTTTATTATCATATTAAGGATTTAAAACCGTTTAAAAGTTAAGTTTAATTTGATATTTGAGTAAATAATATTCACTATACCAATTACGATTAATAAAGTAATATATTTTCAAATATCTTTATATGATTTCTAAAATGTGTACAAGATCTGAATTATATTGCTACTTATTTTTCTTTTAGATCTTAAAGATTTTAATTAATATTTAATTAATATTTAATATAATTTAATTATAGATCTATTATACCCTATAACATATAAAAAAAAAAAAGAAATTTCAATATGCCATGGATGAACTCAACAATGATCCTTATGAACAACAGCTTTATGCTGTGTTTCAAAGTTGTTTAACAAAAGGAGAAACTGAACTACATGAGGATAATTGGGTCAATTTATGCCATAAGTTACATCTGACGGAACAGAGTGAAGAATTAAGATCATGCATACAACAATATAAACAAGAAAAACAATCCATATCATTCCAGGAATTTAGAGCTGCTTTATTAACTTTGTTAGACAAAACTCAAGATTCAATTACAAAGGCAGAAAAAGATAATATAATAGAATCACAAAATGATACAAATCCACATATTATAGATAATAAAAAATGTAATTCTTTAATACCTAATAATTCTTTAATACCTAATAATTCTAGTTCTAATGTAGATTTTTTAAATGGAAAAACAGGTAATATTATTTATCATCTATTCCTATATTTTTCACAGTTTAAGAAATGTATCTTTAATTAAAATACATGTTGCTAATTTTTAGGTGTGGCAGTGAATGAAAATAGGTTGAAATGTTTATGGGAAAAGATAAATACCTGTTTAAAAGAAAATGTAGACTCTGCAACAATTTTTTTTATATCTAATTGTTTAGGAATTCCAGCTCTTCCAAAACAAGTAATTGCATGATACTATTTATTACCTGTTAGTGGTTAGAATTTGAAATATTTATTAAAAGGATATATGTACTTATTCGTATATGTATTTATACTATTTGTTTTTTTTCATCTTGTTTACCTTAATATTTTTGTTATTTTTATGATTTTTTATCTCTCAAGATCATTTAGTCGAATTTTCAAATACATTTTTCTAAGTAGGATTAGGTATTTTTCATATTTCAGTCAATGTACTATTTTATTCTTTGTAAAAAAGTATTAAGATAATTGTATTTAAAAGTGATTAGTTTGAAAAATAAGAAAAATATGAATGTAGAAACAGTTTTCTTTATTTGTTATAAATAAATTTAACGAAATTAAAATTAAAATATCTTTCAAACTAATCATTTTTATACATAATTTTTTTTTTTGAAAGAATTGAAAAACACATTAATACATAAAAAAATATACTTTCTCCGTAAGAAAAATGTCAATAATCTTAAAAACTTAAAAAAATAATCTTAAGGGAAAAATTATGAATCATTATTTGTTGTTCTGAGTTAAATGATTTTGTTTTGTTTCTTTTTTTGCTTTATATTGATAAGGATATTAAAGTGAATAAGATAAATAAAATATTGTATATATGTAATATACAAAAATATCTAGTATTTACTTTCATAAATAGTTAATTAAAATATATTAATTATCTATTATAATTAAAACTTTTACATTGACTTTTGCACAGATCTCACAGTGTATTTTTGAGAAACTTGATCAGAATTGTGATGGATTAATTAGTTTGGATGAATTTCTTGTTATATTTCAAAATAAGGCAATGGAAGATCAATTAATGTTGGAGAAGAATAACCAATCTACAAATGAATTAACTAAATTAGATTTTAGAAAACGAAACTTCGACACTCATCTTTCTCGCAAGACTAGGTACTATAATTGTAATTGTTAACCATAACAGTATAATATTACTGTTATAATTTCTTTATTATTTTATGTAATTTTTATTTAATATTTTATTCCTATTTGTAATAGTTTTACAAGGAATGATGCTTTTCTGGATACGTGGAAACTTTCAAATACCGATGGGAATTTTAAAACATCTGAAATTTCTTTAACTGATTTAACAACTACTTTATGTGATGAACTAAAAAATTTTAATGACTCATTAGGTCATTCTGCAATTCGATCTCATATAATGTTATTGCGAGATGTTCTTATACTATATCAAGAAGAACTACATAATTTAAAGTAAGTATTAAAACCTAAATAAATTAATAATAATTATATTAATTAATAATTTAAAGTAAGTACCACAATAAAAGAAATTTAATTAATTAATTAAATATTCTTATACTTTTAGTCTTGTAATAGAAAATGTAAATGGTGAAAAAGAAAAGTTACGTACTGATATTATAGAAGCTAATGAGCGTGCAAACACACTTGCTCAAGAGATTGATGAACAACATATCCGACAAGAAGAAATTGTTCAAAATCTACGAAAACAGATTGAACAACGACATGCTGAAACTATACAAGATCTTTCAACTCAACTTACTTCTGAACGAGAAATGAGTGCTAGTATTCTGAAATTAAAGGAAGATCAAATACAAATATTGCAAAAAGAGAACTACGAGATTAGAAATAAATTTGTAAATACGTTGCAAGAAAATCAAGTTTTAGAAAATGAGAATGAGAATCTTCGTAGTCAAATTGAAAAACTTAAACAATCAAACAATGAGTTTTTAACTCAAATAAAAATGTTAGCGGCAGAGCATGATGAGGTATACAAATGATTTTTTATAAGTGAAAGAAATAATGTAATTTTTATATTATATATTTTATATTATATATTTCATATATTATGAATAATTTTAGTCGCAAAATATAGAAATAAAACATCAACAAGAAGTTATATATTTGGTAGAACGTATCAAACAGTTGCAGTCAGAAACAGTTCTTTTACAAGATCAAAATGATGAACTTACAGCAGAATTAGAAAGTTTAAAGTTGCATGATCATACTACAAATACAAGGTAATACATACAAAGAAATATCATTAGAAAAAATTTCAACAAATAATACAATTTTTATTGTTTCAGACAGAATAATTTTCCTGATACTCATACAGCAAAAAATACACAATCCAATGAAGCTGAAAGTAATAAAAATAATTTCATATATTTAAATTTTATATTTATTTTTTAGTGTAATAAAATTAATGTATAATATATTTTCAGATAAGGAAACATTTATAATTGAAGAAGATGACTTAGATGTTGTTTTTAAACATTCCATATCTGTAAGTAATGATTAATAATTCACATTATTTAATCACAATTAATATTAATAGTAATTGTTTATTTATATATATCCTATTTTATCTATACAGCCATCTTGTAATTCCAATGAAAATGATAATGCGCAAAATTGTAAAAAGATAGATTTAAAACAATTTAAAGATATAGTTATAAAACAGTTAAAAAGTATTTTAGTTAATAATAACAAGTGTACATTAGAAAATTGTGCATTTAAAGATGAAATATCAGGAATGATTATGAGATTACAATCTAATTTAAATACTCAAGTTTTCAAAGAGCCTGAATTGATCAAAAGCATTGCATCTGAAATGGAAACAGAATGTGAAGAAAAAACGAGCGATTTTATTATTTCTAGATATAAGAATTCCGTTTTTCTTAACTCTAAACGAATAGTAACATCCAATAGTAATGATAATAATTATGATGTTGATTATTTTAGCAATCAGGATATAAAATGTTCATCACAAAATAAAATTTCAAGTCTTAGAGATTATCCTCCTCGTAAAGAAGAACATATAAATGCAGATCATTTGAAATTAAATAAGGAAAAAGATATCTTAAACAGTTGCGCAAAAATTACTAATGAAGTTGGTACAAAGACTAATTCAAGTTTAATAAAAAATGAATTGTCTGAAAATGTTTCCTTAAATTTGAAGTTAAAGGAGATTGAAACAACTCATGCTGCGGAAAAAAAGCAATTGATTGAACAATGTGCAGAATTGGAAAGAAGTCTTGATATGTTAAAGGCAGAATATGAAGAGTGTGAAGATTACTGGACTGCTAAATTAGAAGAAGAAAGACAACTTTTTGAGCAGGAACAAAAAATTAGTGATGAAAAATTTTCAGAACTTATAGCTAAAATGGCAGAATATGAAGAACTAATTAGTCCAGTAGATAAAGTAAAAAATAGTGGGCGCTTATCTCCAATTGAAGAAAAGTTTAATTTAGAACAACAAGTAAGATACATTTTTC